TAGTACAGATACTCATTTGATGTCAATAGAAATTGAACATCATGAGATTGATCTTATTTTCATTTTTGTGGGCCTGAGAATACTACTGAATATTATGGGGCCTGAGCCCTAGGGATTCTTTGTTAAGGTTTGAGATTTTCTACGTGGCCCCCTCCAACTTCATTTTTTTTTTTTTTGATGGAAACCCTCCAACTTCAATTTTAAAATCGAAGAGACCCAAGTCCTAAGACGATTAATGAATCTTCAACTGGCCCAGATCCAAATAAACTATTAGGCAAGCCTCGAAGCCTCTCCAGACCCGCCCAAGACCAAGCTTCTCTATAGTCTATCCCATTCTCTAAAATCTTTGATGGTAACTTTTCCTTTGAACACATTGCAATCCTACTAATTATCTATTGGTCTTGATAAAATAAATTTAATTTTTTTAAAATAAAAATTTTGAGTTCAAATTTTATAAATAAAAAGATAAATGCTAAAAAAACTTCCTTTCTTATGGGTTTAATATGAATCGACTTTAAATTAATAAGAACTAATATAGCTTTCGAACATTAAAAGGTTTAATAAAAAAAAAAATTTGAAATCCTTATTTATCTTCTCATTTCTAATTTGGTTATGTATTTTTGTTCATGGGTATATGTTGTAGAAATCGTATGATCTGATACGTATTCATATTGACAAGTTAATTTTTTACAAACTCATTCCCATATATATGGTGAAGCAAATAAATAGACGAGAATGTTATCTTTTACACAATATATATATATATATATATATAGGTGCCGTGTCTTACAATCACTCTTGTGGCAAATATGATGTCTTGTGTTATAGTTCATCTTGTGGCTAATTGTAAAATTAGGACCATAAAAGGAAAAGGAGGGTTCAATATCAGGAGCCCTTCCCCTTTGATGATCTATGCCATAGGACAGATTATAAAACAATTTTACGTGGGTATATATATATATATATATATTCTCAATGTCACTTCAATTGTTGTTCCCGTTTGCTTTTTTTTTTTTATTATTATTATTAATTTTTCAATATTTAATGGTCACATTAAATCTCTATTAATTTTGACTCCAACCACATTAAACCTCATAAAAAAAA